GAAGTCTGTGGAAATAAAAAACCACCATCCTTATTCTTGGGAATATTTTGTAATATTTGAGAACATTTATTTCAGTGCAGAAGACCCTTAGAAGCAAGCAGTAGTCTTGCAGTTGGAGTAAAGAAAGATGCCATCTGGGTTTCATTTGCAGCTGTGCTGCTTGCTTGCTTTGACACCCTGAACAAGGCATTTAACATTCCTATGTCTCAGCTGTAAATGATAATTAATTACAGTTTTATCCAAAAGCTCCAGTCAAGATAAGGCCTAAACACACTGGCTACTGTACAAACAAGGTCTGACATTGTCCCTGCCCTGAAGAATCTAATTTGAGACTAGATGCAGCAAGCAGATCTGACACCAAAAAAAAAAAAAAAAAAAAGGGGAATAGACAAGAGGCAGGTAATGAAAATAAGATAATGAGGTTACTTAGGGAGCCATCATAGAACTTGAATGTTCCAAAGAATTAATAAATTGATTAATTAATTATAATTAGCTCTCCCAAACTGCACCACAACCTCTTCACCACAGGTTTTGTGTAGATGCCATTGCACAGAAAAATCCTGAAGTACCTAATGGAGAGTAGAGGTCAAAGACTTGGGGTTAAGTCTGACAGGTTAATCTATACATCAGAGTAATACAAAAAGAAATGCAGAGCTGATAAATTGAAATTCAACTGACATCCCTATGGAGACAATGGAATATACAGCTAACCATGTAGAAAGGGATAACACTTTTCAATAATGTTTTAAATAAAATAAAAAAAAAATCCCTAAGTGCATTTGCTATTTTATGCTGTTGTAAAAATCATAATTGAATGGATGTCATGTTGAACTTCAATATTTCACTTGTTGAATTATGTGATTTTTACCTTCCTCAATTAGCTGGTAGCAAGTAAATATGTTGAAATAATAAGCAGCAGGTCATCAACAACTTGTGTTTTTGGCTTTTTTTCCCACATATTACTGGTATCTTTTTTCCTTGCTTGTGAAATGAAAAGAAAGGACTTTGATATCAGAAAGAATTTGTCTTTCTCTCCCCTATGTCTGTGTTCCACCTTCTGTCTGAACAACATCTGCTATGGGTCAGCTTATACCCCACATAAATAATAAGAAATAAGAAATACAGAAATAAGTATGTTTTCCTTCTGTTCCAGTTGCCTATTTCAAATGTGATGTTTTTTCTTTCTAAATTACTCTGACTTGGCTGATTGACTTATACATTTTCTAATGTTCTCTTCTTCCCTTAAACTTCTTCTACCTCTGTCTTAGTTGGTTTTGAGATGAGAAGATTATTTACTTTGCCCAGGTATATGAAACAGGCTATTTAACTCAATCATAATTATGCCTGCATAGGGGACCCTCTAGCAGGCAGATAAGAAGAACAGAGGAGAAATCCAGGCATACAGCAGTGCTGATTTGTTGTAAATAACTGAAGCAAAAAGGTGCTGCTCCTGCACACTGGTGAACTGGGAGAATCAGTAGAGAAAAGGAAAGGGCTTTCTCCACTCATCAGCTACAAAACAGATATAGCAGAGCTTTCCCCTTTCACTGCCATTACTGGACAGCCAGACCTTTGCTTAGCATAGGCAGAGTACAATGATAGTCTGTAGATATGTAGATGGAACAGCTGACTTGAAAACAATAATTCTCTTGATTCTCTTGCCTAAGAATTTGTTTTGTTTGCATTTGCTTGCGATTTTGAGGAAAAAAAAAAAAAAAAGCCCCAACAATAAAGAGAGTTTTCAAGCACAGTCACAAATTTGGAGATGGGGATCTTCAGGAAAGCCAAAGCAGCATGCTAATCTCCTTGACTGCAGGCTGGAGGCTGGTCTCAATTTCTCTTTGGGAGATACATCCTGTATACAATTATTCAGTGACATTTTCAAACTGGAATGCATTTTGTTAAAGAAATCTCATTTCTAATAAATGCTTTTTTTTTCAAAGTGGAAAAAAAATCATGTTTTAATAGCTTGTATCACTGTCCACCTAGACTTGAAGTCAATGGCAAAATTCTGCTTATGCCAAAATGACAAGATAAAAATTTTAGAATCTAGTATTTTGCTACCACATGGAAAACACAGTTTTGAAAGATCTCAAAGGATCCATTGGGTGAAATTCATCAGCTGAGAATCAGGCCACAAACACACAGAAATGTATCTTTCCAGTATCAGCTATTTCTACTCCCAGTCCAAACCTTCTAAATAGCAACTTAGACCTGCTCTTTTCAGCTTCCTGTTCTGGCTATTATTATTTCCCTGAGTGTGTTTCTAGTTACATGGGGGACAGATGGCGCTTGTATTTTTGGGAAATCATTTAGTTATATAAAAAACACCTTTGTTGTTCTGTCTGAAATATGCAAAATTAGGATAAAATATCTTTTGAGACTTCAATGTACTGCCATGAATGGGAAGTGGTTAAAAAATATAAAAGTGATACAAAATATAAGAAACTACTTCAGCTGCAAATAAACATCTCTTCCTTACATTTTGCACACAGTTTTGCCATATTGGTGACTTTAATTAGTGCAGAATCCTAGACTCTGCTTATTGGTTTACTGAATAGCATAAAATGAAGTTTATTTAACTTTCTAAACTAAGGAAAGCAGGATAAAGCTAATTAAAATTAAATTACAATATAATTAATCATTCAGGCTCACTGTGTCAATGTTGCCTAGGTCCTGACTGATGTAATCCTTCCTGAGTACTCCTGCCCTGCACATTGTGTGGTTTTCCCTCCAACAGTGTGTGGTGTCTCCCATGTACCTTTTTCAGTTCCCCCAATATTTTCAGTGCCTAGTTCAGAATGACAGCTTAAGTAAGAAGATTTAAAGAAAAACAAAAAGAAAAAAAAAACACCAAACAAACAACAAAAAAACCCAGCCCAAATTTCCTAATTTCTTTCTTATTTTTGGGCACTTTTGTCAGGCATACTTTCATTTAGACTTCTTATTGCCTTTTAAATTTGACAGAATATACCCATAAAATTTGTTAGTAATTGTTTCATTTCCCAACTTGGCATGTGTAGTTAACCTTGAAAGACTATTGGACGTTGCCTGCGCTGAACCCAACCTTTGCTGGTACCACAAAGGTCATAGAACCACTCTCACTGAATCTGTGCCTTTAAACACAAGGTCCTCTATATATTGGAATTGCAATGCTTTGACCGCCTATTAATCCATTATTAAAAGATGTTAACTTGTCACTTATTGTAAGACTCCAACTTAAATTCTCTGTGGCATGAAGTTCTCTGTATCTGGCACTGAGAAATCTGAAAATCTTTTGGACTAATAGTATTTTTAAAATACAGGTTCATTGTGGTTTTTTTGGAACAATTTATGGAGAAGAAAGGTGTCTTTCTTTACATTTCATTTTGACAACACAATGGCAGTACATTGAAGTCTCAAAAGTCTTACATTACGGGAACATCCCAAGTCTCCTCCTATAACAACAATCTTCATTTTTCTAACTGTTGCACAGAGAATTCTTTATTCAAAAACTTTTTGGTCTACCATGATTGCATAATAATTACTTATGAATATTAAAATATCACAACTTTCATCCTGAGACACAGTACTGCACACTACCAGAGTCATAACAAATTTTGGACTTAGAAAAAATAATCAAATAGAATTAAATCATCATGAGATCAAGACACTTGTTGTTGACAATGTTCATATTATTTTGGAAAATAAAACTCATTCCTATGAAACTTAATGAATGAAAACTAATATTTTCATTAATATTGTTTATATTTTGCTTATATTGGTGAACTTTTGATGTTTTGCAGTTTAGATGTGCTGAGTGCTATGATACATACAGAAAGAAGTATAAATCTTAATCTGGACAATTTAAGAATTAATAAAATATTGAGCAAATATATGCAATAACTACAGATATAGATCAGAAATATTTTGGGCAGTAGCAACTGGTAAGTTTTGCAGGCAAAAAAGTGTTTTGAGTGTGAACTTCACATCCACACATACATAATGAAAAAAACCAAGATTAAACATTCAAATAGAACATTTAAAATCTGTGAGATATCAGAACCAATGCTACCAGAAAATTCTGTCCTAGCTCTTTACATATACAAATTTTAATATGGTCTAATTGTGAGTACATTTATTTCTTCTGCTTAACTTTTCACTGGGTTATGCAGATAACATCTTCAAACTCATGGCATAGATTTTGGCCACCAGGCTGAGAAGTAGCAGACATAAGCTATTATCCATCAGGCAGATGGCTCTCTAGAGGAGGAAATAACGTACATTTGTTCTGTGGTTTGCAGCTGCTCAGAAGATAGCAATGAGGTGCTGAAATTTCTGCCCCACAAGGGGAATGTTGATCTGAGTCTGAAACTTACTTGAAGATTTGAAGACAGCTTAGTCAAACAGATATAACTGGCAGATGTTTTTGAAATGTAGTATAAAGTGGTTTACATTTCAGTCTATCATAAAAAAAATGTAGGAGCTGCTCCAAACTCTGAGATTTTTTGTGGCATCCCAGTTATCTGGTTTGTCAAATCTGTGCTGGTCACGGCCTTCTTATGAGGAGAAGCATGAAACACTCATGTACAGTAAGGTTATTGTTATAAAAATATATTAGTACCACTTGGTGGGCTAGACAAAAAGGAATTCTTTCTTTTCCTACAGATCAATGCATAAAAAAAGTTGCAAAAAGAAAATTAATGGAATGTGGAATATACCCTTGCAATCACTAGTGATTAGCACAAAAATAAAAATAATATATGTAGAATTCTGTGTCAGAGAAGTGCTGGGATATTTATGAAGTTAAAATTTTGAAAGTGCATTGATTATACACCACAGAGAGAGGTGGTAATGCTGGCCTGAGACTAGTATTACAACCACTCTTTTTGAAATCTGAAAGGAGTCATGACATAACAGAAGTCAAGACTTGCAAAACCAAGAGTGTTGTTTATGGTATAGGTATTCTCAGTAATGGTAACACCATTTATGAGAGTGTTAGAAGTATGCTGTGGGACCCACCTGTCCAGATGTTGCTGTCACCAGCACAGGTCAACAATATCATCTGCAATGAAATCAATGGAAATTAAAATTCTCTCAGAGAGCTGCTGTTTTGCAGTCCTACATTAGGTGTATGTAATAGGACAATGGACAACAGCATAGCAGTACCTGTTTCTTTCCTCTGATCATGAATGGGTGTTTAAGCTGCTAGTTCAGCTTCAGAGAAACTATGGATAGATGTCACAGGGCATCTGAAACACCCATGTGGAGGCAGCAGCAGTGAAACTCTGATAGGAGTCCTATGGGTTCTGGAGGGGCAGCGGCAAGCTGGAAAAATAAGAAGAATTCTTAAATTACCATTAAAATAGGTTGTAAATGACAGTGCTTTGGAAGTGTAATAATTCAGTTGAAGGAGAGCCTTATCCATGATATTTGCCATCCATGCAAAGACTGGAGACTATGTCCTCATTAATGCCATTGGGTCATTTGCAAGAATAACTTTTTTATCTATAGGCTTAAATTTTGTCTACTTAGTCCTTCTATAAGACATATAATTTCATCCATGGAGCATTAGCGTAGGTCTCTGGCAACAAATCTTATTTATTTAACACAAGCATTTTGGGCTGCTAGATTGGTGGAAAACCCAAATGGCCATCCTTTATTAAGTACTGTCTCTGAGTACATCAATCTAGCAGGCTGATGTTGTAAAGTAAATGTTTCTTTCAGGTGACTCAATTGAGCACTGGTTTCACAAAAATTAGCAGGGCAGTTTATGTCAGAAAAACAAAAAATATGCAACATCAGGCATAAATGTCTACAACAGTCAACTAAATGAATCTGCAGGGAAATGTAAATACAGAAGTCATTAAAGACTAGTCAAGGTACTTTTTAAGTCTTTAAACAATAACACTGAGCAGATCAGTAACAGAGCCCTTCATAATCTGCAGTCTCTGCAGAAACAAAGAACTTCTATTACATTTATTATCAGATGACTGCATTCCTGTATAGAAATCCAAACACAACAGAAACTTCCCTGCCATGTGCAGTTATTTTGCTCGTGAATAGGGGCTCTGTTTAAGATCAGTGGGATAAATACACCTAGAAGGACACTGTGCTTCTCAAAGTTAACTAGGAAACTGTTGATGCAGACTTTGCTGATGAACATCTCAGGGCTCCAGACTCCAAGAGTCTTCATTTATTGTTTTATTTTTTCTTCAGTAGAGTTCATTTAATTTGTAATATATCCGAAGGGTTGGTGTCGTCATGTATGACAGCACACATGTAATAAATAATGCAGTATAACTGCTACCTTTAGCAAAATTTTTTTTGCTTGGAAACAAAATTGAATGAGTCCATTTCTTTAGGTTGGATATTTTAAATAGATATTGGTGGTAGTTTCAGTTATTCATTGCAGAATAATCCACCATTGCAACAAAATTAAAGCCTTTTAAAATAATAAGCTTCTGAATTCTGTTTGAAAATCAATACACGAATACACTAAATTGCAAATGAAACAATTTATAAAGCGCATCAACAAATCAGAGTTTTAACTTTACATCAAATTAAATTAATTGATATATATTTGCACATATATGAAAAATACCTAGTAAAATTATTCAATGTAGTAAGGCAACATGGAGATCAGATTTCCATGCCGTCTAAGCTAAATCATTTGAGGACTTTATTTCTTTTTCTTTATTGTTGAGGAACACTGCAGAGCAATCCCTTCATAGTCACTAAAGATGAGTCTGAAGCACAGGGGGGTTAACATAAAGATTCATGTGGATTTCAGCTATCTCTGTCTTTGAGGCACTGAAACTGCAGTGAGGGTCAGGCACAGAGGAGCCACCAAACTCCTGTGTTGTACAAACCCTCCAACTCTCCTCCCAGTGAGAGGCCACAAGACTGGACAAGTATGGGCCAGAATAGCTCATTGCTGGATATGAGCCAGCTTAGGGCTGGATGCAGGATGACCACAGTCATGTAAATTCTGACAGCCTGCACCGGCATGAAGCGGGAAACCAGCACAACCTTGCACATCCTCCCTCCTGTGGACCTCCAATCCAAATTCATCTTACCTTGGGCACTTCTATATGTGTCTCCATGTCATAATGAAGCAGTATTGCTCAGAACCACACTTGGGAACTTGATCAGCTCTTTTGATTTTTCAGTTTTGATCTGACTAATCAGCCAGTGTAAATTAACACTACTCTACCAACTTGTCCTCACTCAGGATCCTGTGGCTTTGCAAAATCTTAATGCCATTAGTATGACCTACATTTGTGGATAAGGCTGTAAAATTAGGATATTAATTTACTGTTGATCCTGTTCTTTGAAAAATCACAGTCTACCACTTCCTTGTGAAGGGAAGTGGAGGGACAGACACTGATTTCTTCTCTTTGGTGACCAGTGATAAGACCAAGAGTATTGCCTGAAGTTGTGTCGGGGGGGTTTATGTTAAAAAGGTTCTTCACCCAGTGTCTGTTTGAGCACTGGAACAAGCTACCCAGGCTCCCCAGGGAAGTGGCCACAGCACCAAGCCTGACAGAGCTCAAGAAGCATTTGAACAATACTCTCAGAGACATGGTATGACCCTTGGGGATGTCCTGTGCAAGGACAGGAGTTGTACTCAATGATCCTTGGGGGGTCCCTTCTAGCTCAGTTAATTCTGTGATTCAGTATGCTCTGATTTTAATTTGTAAAATAATCCCTTCATACAGCAGTTACAGTACTTTTTTTCTTAAAACATATTAAAGATCAAATTAATAAATTACATATTCTACTGTCAAATAATAAACACATGACCATTCTTTTTAATCATTGAAACAAAAGTTACCAAATTTGGATAGAATGTTTCCCTGATATACCTCCTCCGATACATCTCAGCTAACAATTTTGCACTCTTTCAAAAAAAGGAGGAAATAAAAACAGGAAAAAAAACCAAAACAATGTTTTTATGCTTAAAGAACCCCTGATGTGTTGGGTTGTGTTTCTATTTCTAAGAATCTCCAGCTTTAAAAATTTAAAGCCCTCAAATCTTGCCATTAATGGCATAAATTAAAACCATAACTACCCAAGTTGGGCCAAGACTATAAAGACATTAAACAGGAAAAAGTACCAAAGAGCTGAACTGAGACTGTGACCCTTTCTCTGATTTTTTCACTAAAGACTTATTGGATAAAGTTCCTAAACTTCTTTCACCTCTTGTGAAAAAGTGAGATACATTTCATTATTTAGGAGAACTGTCCTACGTTCACATTCTTGCAGAGCGTTGCTGTGAATTCATGTGCATGCAGGTCAATTGATCCTCTTGGTGCCCTTGGGGTACTCATACATGGGGCATCTATGTTGTATTAGAAGAAATTTACTAAAATTATAAAGTATGGTGAAAAATAGACGTGTATTTACAATATGCAAATATATACTACATGTACACTAATATCCTTAATGCAAATATTATTTATTTAACACAAGTAATATCCCCATGACTTACACATGAAAACCAGGACAAAAAACATTAACTTCTTTCAGAAAATATTTCTCACCATAAGGTAACATGTATCCACACATTTTATGGGCTCTTTGCCCCTTGAAGTTTTATAAAGTTAATAAAAACTAAGACATACATTTTTGTCTGCAAATAGAAAACGATCTAAATGCATATTTCAGGTTATATTTTATTGATTGATACTGAGGGTTTTCTGCATATTATTGACATTTTATATTGTCACATTTTTACTCTGACAGTTCAAGTAGTAGCACTCAGTAAAGGTAGAGTGGGCCAATGCTATGTGTGAAGTCTGGCAGATGGTGCTTCACTTAAGTGGTAGGTTCACAAACATTCCCTAGCATGTCATACACCATTCTCATGAAATCTACCTAGATTTCAAGGCCAAAATCTAGAACAATACTTGTCAATCTATCTATTTCCATTTTTATAGTATACTCATTTCCATAATATGTGAGGATTAAAGGTAAAATCCAGAGATGGATGATGAATGAGAAAGAAGAAAATGGTCTTGACCCAGCAGCTTTTCCCTTGTATAATGGAGAATGAGAGTGGACTTTAAAGTAACAAGAAGAGTGGATCAAAACTTTAATTTTTATTTCCTCTGATCTTCCTTTCTTTTTTTATCTTTCCCTTCTTCTTCATCTTCCCGCTCCTCCTTTTCAAATTATATGCACTCTTAGTCCACAAGTTTCTATCTCTCAGTCTACATTTCCTTGCTGGCAGACATTTTCTTTTTCTCACATATTCATTCTTTCCACCAAAAATAGATAACTTTTCTAAGTCATCCCTTCCCAAAAGCTTCCAGTCCAGGCTATCTTAGTCCACCCTCATCCCATCTCATTTCTTTACACACATGCATACAGCCATTATCTGACACATCTCCCTTACAGTGCAAATGCAGTCTGTTTTTCCATGTAGAAGATCTCTGCATATCTGCTGAAAACCTTTCCTTTAGCCAGTTTCTCCCTCAGCCATCACCTTCATTCCAGTCCTTCAGAATGGTTTCTATTGGGCTTTACCAAATCCTTGTGTACAAAATTCCCAGCCTAACCTAACCTAGCCTTGCCTATCCTAAAGGTTATGCTGGGGTCATCACTATAATATTGAACCACCTTGAGGAGAACTGAAATGAGAGTTAGGTTTGTCACAGCAGTTTGCCAAATGAAATGACTGCATACTGTACAGCTTGTTCTGGTAAACTTTATTCTTTTAGGAATATATTTTTGCTGGATCCGGGGGAGTAGAAGAAGCAAAAACAGAATACATGTAGCTATAATTACACAAATTCACAGAACTCTGTGATTTTTTTCCTCTATTTGTAAGCTTGCACTGTTGTGAAACCCTGTTGATAATCCACCCTGTAGCAGCTCATAGCAGCTGTTGCATTAGGAATTGAAACTCTGCTGATTAGTTTCAGCATTCACTGTCATGTCATAGAAGCTTTCAAAGAACAGGACGCTGGTTCTCCGTGCATTTCTTTCTCAAGGACATTTCTAAAAGCAGTTCTTTTCCCTTGCCTGTAGTAACTGGCCAATGTGTTTTCATCCCAGCCTTCCTCTTGTGTGAATTAGAAGTTCCTCGTGAAGTGCGCAACACATTAGTTAGGAGAATTGCTGTCCCTGAACAGACTTTTTCCAGGAAAGAAACAAGAAACTCCCTGGGTGGACTAAACAACAGAAAGAACCTGAAAGAAGATGCATATAGTTCCTGATGGCTTTTCATTTCTCTTGTTGATTTGTACCAGAAGTATCTCAATAGCACAATAGCCGATGCTAGTCTGTTCACTCTGACACCAGAAAACTTAGTTGTAGC